ATTTGCAAACTACCGACAGTATCATAAGCAGGATTCTCAGGTTACAACGCTTAGGTTTGAGAATGGTAATTAGCTTCACAATTCGATTTTAACCAAATGAAACCTTCTCTATGGAAACAAAGTTGTGAATTCGCAAGTGGACACTATCAGCAGAATAAAACTATATAGACTGACAAAATATCTTGAAAAATTGATTAAAAAGAGAAACAAATCTACCCTGTATATCTCCTCAAGCAAAGCCATAGCGGCATTCGAACCAACGTCTTCAGGAACGATTGGATCTCCAGACTCTCCTTTCGGTTTCGAAATTGCCTCGCCGTGATACACAACTCCTTCAGTTGTCTCTGCCGTTAAGAATAAGCCATAACCAGGTGAGCTGAAAACTATGATGGTTAGGGCAATAGACATACAAAAGCGTTCATATAAGCACAGCATATGCTTTTAAAAATGTTATATGGAAAATAGGAGTAAGAAACGATGATCAACTCACTTCCCTCCTGCATCTCCTTTTCGTTGATCCACAGTGATATACACGTCAGAAATATAGCCATGAAGCATTCGCTTTGCAGCATCAATCATTCGATACGCAAGTGATGGTGTCACTTTCGTAACGTAAGCTTGACCACGAATTTTGCATACTTTACCTGATTTCTCGCGCTATAAAATAAGGTTAAAGCTATTTTAGCTAAAATTAGATTGTCCGCACACCTGCACCGGGCGTAAAGTCTTTACGATAGGAGCTGAAAACGTTACACTACCACCGCCTCCTGGTTTCAAACCTCGCGCGCTGATCTGAAAAACACGAGGAGGTAAACCGCAAGCAAGGATTTAATTCATAAAGATCGGCCGATCCTTATAACACTTATAAGGTGATAGCGTTGCGCTGCCGCCTATACCGTTTTGCCGGGGTTACTCATTTTTCGGCTTCTAAAATTTTCAACACAACTCAAGGAAAGAAAGCAAGTCAAAGTTGAAGAAAAAAGCGCAGAGAAGCTAGGATACATCGAAAGTACCCCAAACAGGTACTCACTAAAAGGGCCACCACGAAGCCACCGCGCACCCTCAATCGGGCGATTCTAAATGCGGTTATAAGCGTTATAATCGGCCGATCCTTGTGAAGTATGGAGATACCGTAAGAAAATTCTGCTGTAGTTACCTTCATTTCCAAC